GGACCATGCAAAAATATCTAAATTTTGAAGTAAGAAACATACCAGTTCGGATCGTAGAGGTTCCTGGACGGAAGCACCGATCTAAAGCGTCCAAGCTGGGTCTGCGGCTGAGGTCGGAACAACGACTGTTTCTTCCGTGGATGTAGCTCGTTCTTCGCCTTGCTCTGTAGGCTGCTCCAGTTCGAGGTCGTCGCCACCTTGGTCTTTCCCTTTAGGGCGGCGACATAGCACATGCGGGACTCGAGCTGGTCACCCCGCGCTACCCCCACACCGAAGTTTGCAGGGAACTTCATTGCGAAATGATAAGTGGAGACCACCGCCCGTAGGACATGGGCGATCAGCCGACCTATTATGGCATTGTATGGGGCAGGGGTCGCGACCACCAGGAATTCGTGGTTGAGTCTGACTACGCAGGGCCATGTGCCGACTTCCACAAGTATTGTCACTTTTCCAAGGGGCCTGACTTCTTCTCCGCTGAAGCCCACCAAAGGAGTGTTCATGGGCTTCAAGTCACTTCCCTGCAACTGAAGCTGGTCGAACGCGGCTTTGAAGAGAATATTTGCCGAGCTGGCCGAGTCAACGAGTACGCGCCTGACCTCGAAGTTGTTGATCCTCAGCTTTATCACAAGCGCGTCGTCGTGAGGGTAGTGGACCCCTCGCGCATCGTCTTCTGTGAAGAAAATTGGCTCTTCTATCTTCGGCCGCTTCGGAGGATTCTGTTCTTCCTGAGTAGCTTCACGAACTGACGTCCGAGCTGCCGCTGAAGTACAACCCGCGACGATCGAGCCTCCCACTATCACGTGGATGGTGCCCCGAACTGGCCTCTCTTCCGGAGGCTACTTCTACGACTGTTCGGCCGGCCTGCTGCTGGACTCGGGAGAGTCCTTACCGTGCTCCCCTCGCCGACCTGTTTTATTTTTATTTTGTACAAAGTTCCTTAAATATCCGCGACGGATGAGCTTCTCTATCTCGTCGTGGAGGTTCTTGCAACTTTCAGTACTGTGACCTTGATCTCTGTGAAAACTATAGTACAAGTTCTTATTTCTCTCGTTGGGATTTCCCCTCAGACGGGGTGGCCACTTCACATACGGGGCATCCTTGATCGCCATCAGGATTTCGGCCCGCTTTGCGTTCAGTGGGGTGTAATCAGTTCGGTCCACTACGGGAGCTCGGAACGACTGACCCGACTTTGCCCCCCGAGCTGCATCTTTTTTTTTTCGGCTGACCCCTTGGCTGGAAGGCTCTCCTTCCCTTTTCCTCTTGGGCGCGCCCTCGCCCTTCTGGTTGATCTCTTCCTCCGTGGCTATAAACCTGTTCGCGAGCTTAAGAAATTCGGTTATGGTCACCGGTTGGTTGACGACCATGTGCCATTTGAACTCTTTATGCGTCACGCCTTTCTTGGCTGCTGCGAGGCGCACGGCGGGGTCCTAGCACGGTATCTGCATGCACACATCATTCAACCGCTTGATATAGCCCCGGATGGACTCTCCCTCTCTCTGCACTATGTTGAGGAGGTTTTCTTCAGTTCGCAGGCACTGCTTGCTAGTGATGAAGTGGGACGTAAAGGCTTGCGCGAACTGCGCCCAACTTCTTATCGATCCAGGTGCCAGGTTCTGGTACCATGTACGGGCTACTCCTCTGAAAGTGGTGGAGAAGTCCACGCACATGCATGACTCATTGGCTCTCGCCAGGTGCATCTGCGACTGGAAGGCATCTACGTGGTCATTTAGGTCAAACGACCCATCATACTTGTCAAGAGGGGGGAGCTTGAAGTCTTTAGGCATTGGGACTGCCAGGAGTTCGGAAGATAGGGGGATGGAACTGAAAGGAGGGGAGCCTTAGCTTCGCCCGAGCTTACCTCTTCTCTGCCTCCGAGCTCGGGCAGGTTGTGGGTAGCAGATCGGCGAGCCCGGCGGCGGCGTCTCTACTTCTTGGCAGGTTTCGCATTTGTGCTGCTCACTTCCGTGCTGTCAGGAATGGTTTGTGTAGGAAGCAGCTCGGGCGGCTAGTGATGGCTGCGGACAGAGGGATCCTGCTTGGAGTTTGCAGCCAGGATCTCAAACCGGTTCTCCAGGAGCAGGGTTCCGGACTTCGACTGCCGAGGTGATGTAGACCCGGTCTTTCTTGTCTGTCACGAGAGGAAACATGGCTCTTCAGAGGGTTTTGGGAGGCTTCTCCTTGGCGAGAAGGGCGTTCATCCTGGCAGAGAGACCTAGCTCACTGTGAGGCTGGGTGCCGAGGAGGAAGCTGCGGCTGCTGAAGCTGAGGTTGAGGTTGAGGTTGAGGTTGAGGCGGCTGAGGGAATTGCTGCTGGTAGTGGTACTGGGAGACGTGGTGCAGCACTTGCTGCTGATAGAGCTAGTGTTGCTGGACCTGCTGCACTTGGGCTTGCATGGCCCACATGCATTGCATCAGATCGTCGAGCTGGCTCTGGCTGGTCGCCAGAGGAATGACAGTTGGTTCAGCAAAGGTCATTTCGACCGAGGAAGGCAGGGGAACACCCAAGGCACCGTTCCTCGCGGCATGTTCAGGCTGGGGACTCTGTCCATCGAGAGGGGAATGGTGAACTGCCCAATGCAGACCGTGGGAACCTGGGGTTGTTCCCTGGAGTTACCCATCTCCATGCTTCGTCCAACGTTGCTTGAGGAAGCCATGAGTGCCGAGTTTTCAGAGAAGGAAAAACGGTGAAGGTTTAGAGGGAGGCTTTTAGAAGCGGTTCCCACAGACGACGCCAAATGATGGAGCGCAATCCGGTCACTCCTAGCTGGCACTTACGTGGCTCTTGGAAGGTACCTGAGATGGATAAGAAGAAGAATCCCCGGGGGCTTGCCCGGCGGGAACACTCCGATGCTTAAGTTAGTATTCTGTAGGAGAAGCAAGGAGAAGATGAAGGCTAAGAGTGCAGATAGCGCGTGAGTAGAAGATCATACCTCTCTCCCTTGATAATAAGCTCCTTATAATAGAAATCCGTTGCATCAGGCCCACTGGCCTTTGACAGGGCAAGTATAACCGCCACTGTCAGCCTGCCTCAACCGTTACAGGCAGGGCTGAGGTGGCACGTGCGGGGCCGTCATTGCAGGGTACGTGCCTGTCAAGTGTGAGGCACCCTCTAAAGGTGGCAGGCACGACGCTGTTTGACGAGGGATATGGCTGCTGCCCCTAGATTTGTCAGGTATGGTGGTTGGGCAGGAGGTCTTCCTGCGATATGCCAAACTACCCTTCCGTGAGTTACCCTGTGGCGAGCTACCTCAGAAGCGGCGAGCTGCCTGTGGCAAGCTAAGCCGAGCTGTCTGGCCCGAGGTGTCTTCACCTTGGGGTATCTATAGGCGGATTGGTGTGTTCCTGTCTGGGAGTGGTCCGAGATCCACTGGGTGGAGCTCGGGTATTAGGAAAGGTTAGGGGGGCCCCGAGCTCGGAAGTAGCTCGGGGTGCCTTAGCCCCTAGGGTGGCGGTGCAGGCCAAGCGGCTCCCGGCGAGTAGTCTATTCCGTCAAGTTGTCGGGCTGAACTCGGTGGGACCTTCCCTCCGAGTTGTGGTTGCGCCTGTTGTGCTGTCGCGCTGAGTCATCGTTTGAGCAAGGTCATGCACACGTGTACTCGGGCTACGAGGTCGAGCCAAATCACCCTCCATCAATAATATTATGCTAAGTTTGTTATTATTTAATGCTTTTTAATAATGTTATAATTTGTTATTATAAATTAATTATAATAATCTTGTAATTAATTTTACAATTGTTATTGTTAAAATTGAAAATCAATAATTTATTTTGATTTTTCTATTATATTAATCATTTTTAAATGGAAATTAAATAAACAATTTTATAAATTACTAACATTAATTAACTAGCTAATTAATTTTGCAAACTGTTATTAGTAGTTGAGTTTAACATACAATAGTACAAATAATGTCAACACACGGGGCCCATATTGTATGTTATACCCCTGAATAATTCAAGTTGTCTCTCTATCTTTTACCCAAGATGTCTCTCTTTTATTGTATGTTATACCCCATATTGTATGTTATTCCCACGAAACTGCCATCCCTAGCATTAGCAGAGTAGGTAAGCCAAGAATTTATTTGGGTCACCCTGCTGAAATAGGAAAATCTAAGAAAAAAAAAACCTTTAATTTTGTCTTGGAAAGGGTTTCAAACACAACATTGGGTTGAATGAAAGTGAAATTTCTTAATTTAGTTGAGGTTACACTTAAATCGGTGGCCAATGCTTTGTCCTTCCTAAAATATTTTGTGACTACATTGCCAAGGTTCAGATAAATTTTTGGTGTGGTGTTCTTCAACATATTGGCCCTTGCTAATCCTTTAACAGATTCAGATGGAGAGAAGGCATGTCAATCTACAGAGCCTAGTGGCTCTCTCAAATGATCGTTTGTTCAACCAATAGAGGCTCAAGTGCAGCTAGAACTTAGAAGTAGTGGTGTCCACGCATGTTTTGCAAGAGTTGAGGTTGACAGTGCTTTTCTGTTGAATGAGAGAGCGGGGTACAGGACCTCTATTTTTTATCACCATGGTGCCTTTCTATCTGCAGCGTCCTACAGTGATGTCCCCAGATCAGCTCTCACTTCCCAAGTCTTTTCTATGTTCTTGGGTATTAGAATGGCCAAGAAGTTGAATCTAAATGAATTTTGTATTTGTTCAGACAAATTGGTTACTATTAATTTACTGCAGGGCAAGTCACCTAAATCACTGTTGGAAGTCAGGTCATTGATTGTGGACATTTGGCTTTGAATTGATGAGAGTTGCTAGCATCCACTGACACCGGATAGCAAGAACCTCTAATGGTGGTGCTTTTTATTTGACTTACTGCTGCTTTCCTGGGAAATAGGGCTTAGATAAACATACCCCTTTTGATCTTTCAAATGTTATTTCAAATATTTATAATTCAAACTCGAATTATATGATCTTCCGGCTGCATCAGTATAAGTTCATGCTTACCAAAGAAAAAACAAACTTGGATCTTTCTCAGATATCAAAAAGACAAAGAATAAGAGGAAAAGTGAGAGGCTCATGTAGTCGCAAACTCACAATACTAGAGCCAAAGAATTTTGAATGGACCTGCAGGAGCCAGTTTTTTTTGCATTCCCATGGTGGTCATGGGTAAGAATTCGAACTTCAGACAATCACTTTATTTTTTATTTTGGTGAAATCTGAATATTTCGGGGAGGGCTGCCCCCTGTTGTCTAGCCATTTTCCTACCCAAAAAAAGAAAAAAAAAAACTTTTAAGCAACACAAATTTGAGATTTGTGGCAATTATGCTTCTCAAACTCTGGATATTCCCTTCTCTGATTATGTCAAGGTGCTTTTTGGTGTCTGCTGAGATCTGTAATTGTGGTTTTCAGGAAGCCACATTCTAGATACATCTTTAAGTTCAACACTTGAATGATATCAAGTTCTTTTCGTAAGATGAAATGGTGAAACCGTACTCTGAGCTCTTCATAGTTCTAGAAGTGGAGCCATTATTCAAAGTCACTTGAGCCATCTTCACTCTCTGGAAAGATAAATCTCAGATCTTCATTGTCCCTATAAACTTGAACCAGTGCAGCAGCCTTGTATGCAAACATCCCAAACATTGCTGGAACAAGCTGTAGACGAAAAGAGGAGAAATAAAAATTGTCAAACAGTTCCAACCGGTAATACAAATAGACCAGGTCATTAAACCTGAAATTGACGTTAAATTGCAGGTAGCAATCCAAGATTATTGAAAATACAGAGTCTGTCTGTGTATGGGAGTCTCTAAATCAATTTAGAACAACCCCTGTGTCCCTGCTTAATGCTTTGGCAAACACCCCCCCCCCTATTTTCTACCAAAAGATATGCTTAACATGCATGGCACTCCTGAATCTCTAACATTTATATTTATTTACTTAGTAATTGGTTTGCCTTCTTTTAGTATACTTTTCATTTTTTTCCCAATTTTTATCTCGAGCTTGGTGGTTCAGCAGCTATTTCGTTTCAAAGTATTGCTGCAATGTCATCATTATCTAAGCCCTTGACCCAACTATATGGGGTTAGCTACATGAAATCCTGCTTTTCCATTCGGTTCTGTTTAATGCCATATCTATTGTTAAAATTATGAGCACTTAAATCATTTCTTACTATTTCAATCTATGTCCTTTTTGGTCTTCCCCTAGCCCTTCTAGCCCCTTCAACCTTGTTGCAGAGTGCTTCTTATGGGCACTGTAAGTGGTTGTCTATGCACATGACCAAACCATCCTAGTCTACTTAAACTCATTTTATTACCTATCAGAGTTGCTCCTAAGTTTGTTCAAATGATTTCATCTCTGACCCTATACTTTCTAGTTTTTATACTCATCCATCTCAGCATATGCATTTCTGCCACACTCAACTTTTGGATATGTTGCTTCTTGACCGTCCAACATTATGCTCCATACAACATATATGGCCTTACAACTATTTAATAGAATTTTCCTTTATTTAAGTGGTATTCATCTATCACATAAGACTCTGGATGTACCCCTCCATATTGTCCATTCTGCTCTAATTCTATGGGCAGCATCCTTCCCAATCTCTCCCTTATTATAAGTGATCAAAACAAGGTACTGGAAAAGGTCAGATTATCTCTTGGTCCCCAATCACAAGTGTACCCTGGTTTATACTCCTATTATTATTAAATTAGCATATAGCATATATTCTATTTTAGTGCTACTTGTTTTAAAACCTCTTGCTTCTAAGGTATTTGTCCACAAACTTGCATGTCTTCATTAATTTCATCACAATGTCATCAGCAAACAACAAGCACAAACAAAAGCCCTCCTGAATATGTTTAGTAAATTCATCTATGATCAGTGCAAATAAATAAGGGCTAAGTGCTACAGAGTATAAAATAAATTGAAAAAAAAAAGAAAATAAATCCTCAATATATAAAGAAGAGGAAAAAGAAATGAAAAATTAACCACCTGGAAATCAAAGAAATCATTTGTCAAATGCTGAGACAGGGTCCAAAATCCATAAATTGCTACAGGGATCATGAGCCTTGGTGATGAAAGAGCAATGGCACTGCCTTTGATTGATCTCTCTAACAGATTCTTTAGGTCCTCACTTCTTATTCCTATTCTGGTTCAAGAAAGAAAACCAATGTCAAAACACCTCAATGTGATATAAACAGAACCAAATTAGAGAGGTTCAGTTGCATAAGCTCAAAAGATTAATTTTTTGTGGGCCTTACTTCTTTGATTTCTTCTGCATAAAAATCTGAGGAATGTTTTCCTTGGACATGTTGTCAGTGTGATGATACAATAGCTGGAGATACAAACAACTGTACTACAAATTTCTGTTAGCACTTAACTATTTTAGATGAATTGGCCAATCTTAAAATAATTCTAAGGAAAAGAAGCTTAAAAAGCAAGCCCTGCTTTAATTTGCAATATATGATATCAAAAGGATTTGTTATTGACAACTAAAATTTTTCAAAAGTCAGTTTTTTTTTTCATTTTCAACCTATTTTGATTAATGGTAACAGAACATCCAGATATATTTGTGAAAACAAGTTTCCCAACTAACCTTAGAAGAACTCCTGCAGCATAACTTACAGCAGCCTAGACAACCCCAAGAAGACACAGGTTAGTTGTCCATAATGTTCAAATAATTAAATTTTACAGGGAGTGATATATCACTAGAACTGCTTTACTTTCTCCATTGTGAAAAATATGCAGCAAATCAAGTAATATAGAAGGAAATGCAAATTTCACCTTGTTCAATTATGACCTGCATTTTGGCTAGTGGTTATCATTCTTGACACTAGCTGATGCAGTTGTAATTTGCTTTATTTTATTTTTCTTTTTCCAAATTCCTTTCTTTCTTCTTCTTCTTCTTCTTTTTTTTTTTTATTTTTTTTTGGGGGGGGGGTGTTAAGGGCCCGCGAATAGGATCTCGTCACAGGTCGGTTAACGGGGAAAACTTCTTGTTTTCCCTTGTTTCTCCCTTTTTTCGAGGAACCTATCTTTAGCGCCTTTATGGTGATTTGTTAAAGAGATCACCAACTCTCCTCTGCTCTTTCTTGACTGA